AAAACGAATCCACATGTTTCTAGAAATGATATGAAATCTAGAAAGGTTAATGCAGTCAAGCTGCTGGAAAATAATTCCATGAAAATCTATAAATGAATAGATAAGTAGTTTTTGATCATTCCCATATTGATTTCAATTTAAGAGCCACCGGTAGACAGCTGTTTCAGCCTATTGGGCATCTCAGTACCGGGCATGAAAACGCAATTATTTTTATTAAATACTTTTCTTGGTTATTCACATTTTGTTTTCAATCCAGGATTGCCTGTCCGTTACTGACGATGCCCAATAGGCGGAAACAGCTGTTTGCCGGTGGCTCTTGAATTGAAATCAATATGAGAATGATCAGAATAGTACTTATCTATTTATCTCTTGCTTTTCATGGAATTATTTTCCAGTAACTTGACTACATTAACCTTTCTTGATTTCATATAGGTTGTTTATTGAACACGCGGCAAAAAATTAAGGGACTATCTCTTGGACTATTCTAAGGTTATTTTGTCCTTTGATGATTTTTGATCGGGCGCTTGATAGGGCGAAAAATAATTTTGACAATACCAAATTTCATAATTTTAAAATTTTCTTATTAGTCAGTGGGCTATGCTTAAAGATTGGCAGTGAATAAACCAAAAAAATAGAACTTTAAACGTTCAAGCCAGTCTCGGATATACTTAGGTACACAGTAGGTCGAATAGACTGACGCCTATCAGAAAACAATTATTTTCCTGGCTAATACCACGAGGGGCGTTGTATTATATCCGACAGGCGTCAGTGCAGGAATCTTTACAGAAAATATCCTGCATATGCAGTTGGCAATAAAATTGAAAGAGTTGATCTTCAAGTGTGTTCATTCCAAAATTGAAGGTCGAGTCTTTCAGTTGTATTGCCAATTGTATATGCAGGGAGTTTTCTGTGAAGATTCCTGCATGGACGCCTGTCGGATATAATCCAACGCCCTTCGTGGTATTAACCAGGGGAGTAGTTGTTTTCTGATAGGCGTCAGCCCATTCAACCTACCGTGTAGGTTTATCTGAGACTGGCTTGAACGTTTAAAAATCATTTCTTTAGATTTAATTTCAAAATTATTAACGTAGTCGAAATGAAAGTTTAGCGTACTACACTAGACCTACTGAGTAAAAAAAAATCTAACATTAGATTGGAT